GAGGTCTTTAACGAACTTATTCGTTTGATTAATTAACATATTAATTAATCATTGCCATAAATAAATGATTAAACCATTTAATCATTCTTACTCATTTCAGTTTAATCTTCAATCTCCACCTTTTATGGTGTACGATCCATTAGGTTCCTTTTAGCGAGGTAGTGGGCGATTAAAACCATTTTACATCGATTGTGAATTGAAACTATTTTCAATTCTCCCTTTAGTGATTACACACGTTTAGGGCTTCCACAAACCATGAGTGACACCTAGCAGCATATCATGGTTATCCAAGCTAATCAGAAGAGGATAGAGAACCTATTCAGTTTGGGATTACAAATGCAATACGGTTCTTCTCTAATCTAATACTCTTGACCACATTGTTTGGTATGATAGTTTATTTATTCATGTCTACTATCCAATGTGATTCGTGTGCTTATATGATTTCCTTGAATGTGATTTGGAACGCATTCCCTAATCTCATTCATACTCTGGCCAGAGATTCCAAATCATATCATAGAGTATTCTCCCTCAACTGTTTGAAGGTTAGAGATCCCTTGTTGCGCATTCACTTGTCTCCATAGCTAAGTGGCTTAACCCCAACGATGCCGTGGACACCCCGAGGGGGTGACTTTGACATAATCAAAGATCAAGGACTTAACCACAAGACAACTGTGATGCCTCAGGTCAAAGGACTACTTTGCATTATCCCAACCATGAGTTCTCATGTGACATGGAATATAAGAACTCTTCGTTGATCACGTTCAGTGAACTCATTCTCTATTGAGCACCTACGTACTTGTCTTGATGTCACACACACCAATGACTTGAGACTAATCACTCTCCCTGAGAGAAGACATAGTACGTACTGATCTTAACGGACTGTCAACACCCAATTGGCAATCCTATGATCAGGAACGTTTAGGATGTGTCTACGAAAGAATGGTCTCATGAATCTAACTTCATTAGATTACATTCTCTCAATCACATATTCCTTGGACTTTATCGTTTAAGCATATAACATTTATATGAGACGGCTCAAACAATAATGTATGCCCTTTATATGTAAAACTAGATTAGTTTAACATGTGAAATGTCCGTAAAGTATCATCACATGATTGGCTTTAGGGCACATTTCCAACACTAATATACCCCATCTAAGCAAGTATGGAAAGTTCTTATAATTTTGTTTTAATTGATCACGTGCATTGAATTTGGCGAGGTCTTGTAGCCATGAAATATGGTTCTAGATGGAGGAATTAATTTGGAAATTTTTTTAGTTTTGACAATAAATTTCAATTTGAATATACCTAATTTAGTGTTTATTTTCAACAATATCTATTGTTTAATTTTATGAAAATAATTCACCTACTATGAAAATTAATTTTATGAAAACAATATCTATTGTTTAATTTTATACCTACAGTATAATTACATGAAAATAGTTTACCTACTATGAAAATTAATTTTTTCAAAACAATTTCTATTGTTTAATTTAATGAAAATAATTTACCTATTGTATAATTACATGAAAATTAATGTGCCTACTTTATAAATTTGTAACAAAATTAATTTACCTACTTCTTTTTATGGTATTAGTATACATAAATGTAGAATATATGTCCGTATACATTTGATCTAATTAGGTTTTGGATTGGAGGAGTTCACACAAAATTAAAAATATATTAAACAAATTAAATGTCTAAAGGAAACGTATAAGAGATTTGGTGGCATGATTTTGTAAATAAACACAAATTCATGGACATCTTTTATCCAACATGACATCATATTTAAAATTTGGGTTTTATTTAGAAGTTATAATATATGTGGGTTTTTGTCTAGAGTTTAAGATTTGCAAGGATTTAAATCTAAAAAATCCTAATTCTTTTTTTATTTATTCTACCTAAAAAGTATGAACAAACGTGCGTAGAAAATGAGAGTTTAGAAATCACAAAAGTCATCTAAATTTGATTACAACAAATTGCTTTTTCAATCAAACTTGTAATAACAACCATGCAAACAATGATTAATGAAACAAAGAACCAAGTTTCAAATTCGAAGCTCAATTTCTAGCGAAAATTAAAAATAAAAAAAGGCCAAAATTAAAAACAAAAAAGGGCATCTGAAAAGTTTGTATCATGGGAGTAGCAAGGGAATCAAGAATTCCAAGGAAGTCACTGATGAGGTCGCGGTAGGAGGCCTTGTCGGGTTGGGGAGGCGGGTCGGAGAGTCCGTATCCGCTGTAGTGGGGAGCAATGGCTCGGAGGCCGGAGTGGGGCCAGACCAATCATCTGGTGCCGCCACGAGTACCAAATTTCAGGGAAACCATGGAGGAACACGATCACATTGAGACCTATATAAAAACAGAGAAAGACGGCGTTTGATCGATTATGTTCGTGTTCGATTTTACTAAGAATAATAAGTACGGCGTACGGATGAGGAAGTGGGGAGGAAGATATTATGACCTGTTCCGATGTCGACAACGTGGAGCTTTAGGCCTTGTACGGTGATGTACTTGTGCTGTAATTGTTCCATTTCAATCTTTCCTTAACGAACAAGAAAGAGAGAGAGTTAAGTACAGTTTAGAAAATGTATGACGAATTTACTACAAACTTGACAATAAAAATAGAATACAAATAACAAAATATTCTCTCTTTAAGTGAGATCTTCTATCGGTTCCAAGTCCAGATAAAAAATGAAAGGAGGGTGTCAGATGGTCAGGACCCGACACTCTGTTTTCACGTCAAATCATTATGGTAATGAATCCATAAAAATAGAATATGTTTGATTTTTAATACAATCAATTAGTTATAAGATTAAACTAATATAAACTGCGGATAAATTTTGAATTTAGGTGTATAAAGTGCGCATATTCGTTCTAAATATCTAGGTAATGGAACTACATTTATGTCGGTTTTATTTGATTTAGAGAACAAGAATAAAAATTTCCCATAAGTATACAAATTAAGTTTAAGACGTCTTAATAATTAGAAGATACCTTTATACGTTATTCTTTCATCAGTCATGTTGCATGACAAAAAATGAAGTGTTGACTTGTAAGAACTAGCTAAAGGTAGCATCTTTCTTTCTTTATCTGTGGTTTCAACCAATCCTTGCCCTTCTCAAGTGGGATGCCTTACTCAATCAAGTAACGTAGAGCGTGCTTAATATGATTTTAAAATAATAAATCAATTGCGGAAGTAGATTTCAAATACTTTATACATTTGAGTTTTTGCTCTATTATTATCAATTACTTTAATACTCTATTTAGTAATAAGCTCCCGTTACTAAACTCGACATACATTTTTATTTAATGTCAACTGGGGATGGTTGATGGCAAGGGCGGATGTACATTGCGACAAAGGTGGTCCCAGGTGTCAGTGTACCTAGAGGCTGGAACAAGCATTTGAAGGTCTTCTGGGGACCTCTAAATGTTTGATACGAGTTCCTTTTGTGCCACCAAGTGCTTGATACAAGTCCCAAAATATTTGATGTAATGCTTCCTAAGCATATCTCGGCATCATTCACCAGGTTGTGTCGATCACACTTCAACACTCATCAGATTGCTCAGTAAATATCGATATCTATTGACATATTGCGCAACATAGTTCAACTCACGATAACAAGCTTAAGTGTTTGACGAAATGCCTCAATGAGTAAACTGCTATGTTTTTATCTAAAAAACTTGACTTTTAACATTAGGACCCCAAAGCTCAAATTCTGAATTCGTCCCTAGTTGACGGCCCTGAAAATAGAAAGAAAGTACCATCCAAAATAAGCAACAAAGAATAAGTGATTATTGATCTCATTGTGTTGAATCTAGACTTGGGACTCACCTAGTCCAATAGTACAAACGGACGTCAGTCATCGACAATATTAATCCCAAACGCCATGTCGTTTCCATGCAGTTTCTCAAAAACCAAAAAATATCAATGAGTTGACTTAGCGAGTTGATTAACTTTCCTAAAACAGGCAGAACTGTTTCAAAATTTACAAGCTCTTAAAATTCAGCGGGTTTCATGATTTTGTCTGCCGCAGTTGGATTATCCGGATAGATCTGACCGCCAAAGCCCTCATATTTTTTCAAGTGATTGATTTATTCTTCTTGTTGTTGCCCTTTGTTTGTTCGAATACCAAAAATTTGACTACTTTCTTTGTCTTGTTTGCTGAGAATTTTTGTTTTTTTAGGTTGGTTTTAAGAATTAAAATCGGTAAATACTAAATACCCTTTGGGTTTTGAGCGAGATCTGTTGTAATATGCAGAGATTAAGGATTAATATTGTCTGAAATTCAAAAGTTGTAATTCTGGGATTTGGTTGTTTAAGCTGGAAATTGTGGGAATTTGAGCAACAGGTTTTCAATACAGTCCTATTGTTTTTGAGAAGTTTTTCAACTCGTTGCCAGTGTCTTGGGGTTGGTTTTGAGCTGGAAATTTTGAGAATTAAGGAAGTGGGTGTTCCATGAGCAATCTTAGGGTTGAAAGGAGGGTTTTTTTTGGGGGAAATTTTTCGACATGTTGCCATTCTGTGAGTCGGTTTTGAGCTGGAAATTTAGGGAGTTTAAGCAATGGGTGTTCCATATACAATGTTAGGGTTGAAAGGAGATGTTGTTTTCGAGGAATTTGTTTACTCGCTAATTCGAAGTTTGTGTGTAGTTGAATGATTTTAGATGGGTTCATAAAGGATGAAGCCAAGCATCTCGATATATCTTGTGTTTCTTCTAGGGATGGAAAAAAATGTCGAAAATTCCAAACCGAATCGAAAAAATCTCAAATCTCAAATCCCGAAATTTTCGATACTCAATACCAAACTGATCCTGAAATTTCGGTACAGGAATCGGTCTCACACTTTCATTCATTCGGTAATCCCGAATATAATCGAAATAAAAAAATATATATATATTATTTAATTTTAAATATATATTTGAAATTGTTATTGCCGTCCGATTTAGTCGAGATTTAATCTCAACCGTTGAATACAAATCAAAGTTCAAACCCGCAGATAACTCAACTCAGTCACTCTCTCTCCGTCTCTTCTCGACTCGACGACCTCACCTCATACAACCTCACCACCCTCCTCGACCTCACCTCAGAATCCGGCCACACCCACATCACACGAGTTACTCACCTCTCTGATCTCTCTCTCTCGACTTCTCATCCCTCAGACCCTCACTGTGCAGGAGCCTTCCTTCACGGCACAGAGGCAGAGCCACGGTCACCGGCGCCGCTCACCTCTCTGATCTCTCTCTCGACTTCTTCATCCAGATTCCAGTGCACTGTGCACCGATTCTGCCCCAAATCAGGTAAATTTTGGAATTAATTTAGGGTTTGAAATTTAGGGTTTGTGAAATTTAAATTAGAGTTTGTGAAATTTAGCACTTGGAACTGATATGGAGGTAGAAGATATGTAATGGCTGAACGATAGTATTAGAAATTTTAGTGTTTCTACCCTCTGAGCATGTTCTTCTCACCAACGTTTTTATTGCTGGTTTTGGTAATTGATTTATTTAGGTTTTTTCTCGTTTTTGAAAGAAATGAAATTGAAAATGGTTATTTGTGTTTTGGGATTGACATTGGCCATGAAAATTGGAATTTAGCTCTGAAATGTGGTTTTATTTTGGGAAATTGAGTGCTTGTTTTGATTTCGACATTTTTGCTTAGTTTGGTTGATGAGAAATCGAAAAGTAATCGAATTGGAATTAGAAATTTTGGTGATTAATCTGGCCTGTGTAGTTTTGTTTTGTGATGGTAACTTAATAAGTTGTTCTTTTGTAGTACTGGAAATTAGGGGAAAGGTGAATGAGGTTCATAAATTCTTTAGCAGTCAGGTTTTTTGTTTACTGCGTCATGAAACGAAAGGTGGGTACCTGATTTTATCAGTTCCGAAGAAACCATGATTGCCCAATTTTTGCTGGTTGTTAATGCATATCATATGAGGTGGTTAAAGAAGAAAAAAGGGGGTGGCAGGGGCCGGGTGGTGGTTGCAGTTAATGGACACAATTGAATCCAAGTTCAAGTGGAACATATAATAAAAAAATCTGTTTTCTTCACTTTGAAGCATTTCAAACTCTTGTTCAATGTCCAAAGTTGGAATCTTTGTTTGTGTGAACTGTGAAATATGGTTTTTACTAGCCATTGTGTACTTTCATGCTTCAGTTAATGCTGATTTTTTAGTTCTTCCATCTCAGAGTTTTATCATTCTGATGTTCAAACTGATATCTTTCTGTTGCCTTTGTATGAAGTTCTTGTTTGAGCGACATTTTGAGGCCTAATGGGAAACCTTCTGACACATACTCTCATTTTGAGATTAGCCCAAAAGCCCAAAACTATTTGAGTATTCCCAATTTGTCCCAAAACCCCGAAACTATTTCAGGATTCCCGAAATTTGGGATTCCCGAAAATTTGGTTTGGGATCCGGTCTTGAAATTGGGATTCCCAAAAACTTCGGTTTGGGAATCGGGACTTGGTTTTCAGTTCGGTATTGCATACCGAACCAGCCCTAGTTTCTTCTGTGTGAAATTGTGAATTATTAGCGGTCATCAAAAGTGTTAGTAGCAGATTAGAATTTTTAGGTTTCAAAATTTTTGTTACAAACTAATGTGTTTACTATCAAGTTGAAGTAGTTTTGAACCAACAGATGGAAATAATATGTTGATGATTTTATATTCTTTTCAAATGCTGACTTTATGAGTTCTTCAGGAACGTGAGTAAAACACCAAAACATACCGGAAGGGACAGCGGATAATGGCTGAATTAGAAAATTTGCTCTTGGAGGCTGCGGGAAGAACAAGTTCATCGGGGAAAAACCGACACTCACATTCATCATCTAGGAGGAGACGTGGGGGTTCATATTCTGATGGAGGAAGTGACTCCAGAGGTGATGATTCTGATGATGGTCGTGGCTATGCAAGCAGGAAGCCCTCTGGACCTCAAGTTCCTTTGAAGAAGAGGCTGGACCCAACAGAAGTAGACGATGAACAAGGTAGCCAGGAAGAAGGTGGTTATAATGATAGTGGTTCGGATCGTGGTGGGGACAGCAATGAATCTGATGTTGGCAGTGATCTTTACAAGGATGAAGACGATAGGCGGAAGCTTGCAGAGATGTCTGAACTTCAAAGAGAGCTAATTCTGTCTGAAAGAGCACAGAAGAAAGATGACAAGAGTTTAAAGGAGAAGTTCCGACCAAAGTGGGACAAAGGGAAGGCCCCACAGTCCCGGAAAGAGACTCCACCTCTTCCGTCCTCTCGTGTGCGTTCATCAGCCAGATCTGCTGACAGGGCAGCTGCCAAGGATGATGCATTGAATGAGTTACGAGCAAAACGTTTGAAGCAGCAGGACCCTGAGGCTCACCGCAAGTTGAGAGATGCTTCTAGAGGAGGAAGTTCAAGCAGTCGAAGTTTCTCACACCTGAACAGGAAATCCTTCACTGCAGTGGGTCGGAGTAGCTCTAGTCAGAGTGACAGTGATAGTAGGTCTCGTAGTGAAGATGATGGATCATCAGGGGATGATGCAATGATTGACAGTGATGATGAAAGGTCAGAGGGACTAACTTTTGATGATATAAAGGAGATTACCATTCGAAGGTCAAAACTTGCAAAGTGGTTTATGGAGCCGTTCTTTGAAGAGTTAATTGTGGGTTGCTTTGTGAGGGTTGGAATTGGGAGGTCAAAATCTGGGGCTATCTATAGGCTCTGCATGGTCCGGAATGTTGATGCATCAGATCCTGATCGACAGTACAAACTGGAGAACAAAACCACACATAAGTATCTGAATGTTGTTTGGGGCAATGAGAACTCTGCTGCCAGGTGGCAGATGGCTATGATTTCCGACTCAGCGCCGCTGGAGGAGGAGTTTAAACAGTGGATTAGAGAGGTGGAGAGAAGTGGTGGCCGATTGCCAAGCAAAGAGGACGTGTTGGAAAAGAAGGAGGCCATAAAAAAAACCAACTCATTTGTCTACTCAGCCGCAACTGTGAAGCAGATGATACAGGAGAAAAAGTCTGCTTCGTCAAGGCCATTAAACATTGCGCTTGAGAAGGACCGGTTGAGGAGGGAGTTAGAAGTTGCAAAAAGCAAGCAAGATGATGCAGAGGTGGAGAGGATCGAGACAAGATTACAGCAATTAGAAGCACGCCGGCAATCACAGGGGAAAGATAGCAAGGCTATTAGGCTTGCTGAGATGAACAGAAAAAACAGGGTTGAGAATTTCAAGAATGCATCAGAATTAAAACCTAAGAATATAGGTTTGAAAGCGGGGGAGGCCGGTTATGATCCTTTTTCAAGGAGATGGACTAGGTCAAGGAATTACTATGTGTCAAAGCCCGGTGAACAAAAAGAGGAGGCAGAGGCAATAGCAGTGGCTGATGGAGCCTTGGCAGATATAGAAAGTAATGGGACAGCCGTGGTGGGAGCAGTACGGGCTGGCATGGCAGCAACTGCAGCAGCTTTGGAAGCTGCAGCTGGTGCGGGGAAGCTGATTGATACGAGTGCCCCTGTTGATTTTGGAACAGAGTCAAATCTAAAGCATAATTTTGAGCTGCCAATCTCATTGGCTGCTCTTCAAAAGTTTGGCGGGCCACAGGGAGCTCAGAAAGGGTTCCTGGCAAGGAAGCAGCGAATAGAAGCAACAGTTGGGTGCCAAGTCCCGGAGAATGACGGGAGGAGGCATGCACTGACACTTACAGTTAGCGACTACAAGAGAAGAAGAGGGCTTCTCTGAAATGGCAATGGTCCAACCAAGATAACAACCAGAGAGGCAAGACGGATCATCTTCAGCAACAAACAGGACTGGTTTTCGACGGTAAAAGCTTGTTCGTGTAGTCTATTTGTTTGGTCCTTATTTACAATTAAAAATAAGAAGACTGTATTTGTGTGATTTATTTACTGGAAGTTTGGAAGAGCACAAATAATGCACAGCTTGTGAGAGATTTGATATTTACAACTTTAATGAGATTACTGTTGTTTTTTGGAAACTATGAGATTACTGTTGTTGTTTTTTTTTTTTTTGGAAGATTACTGTTGTTTCATTCAAATGTTGTTTTGCTTTTTGTTTTTCATACGATCGATATTAAGGGAAGAGAAACTACACACACGAGTTTTCTTCAGTTTGAAGCTCCTGTGGTGTCAAATAGGCCCATCGTGATTTTTCTTCAGTTTCCTTGGCTTTCAATCCCCTCGTTTGAAGCTAATTTAACTTTCTATTAGTTAGTTGAAAATCCAAGATATCAAAGGGGAACTTCGGACAAAGTCACCGTGCCAAAATGTTCAACTCCATTAGCTTCCTCCCTGACGAAAGCACAACTAGATTACTGAATAAACCGTTTAAACTTTACCTCTCCTCAGCACGGGCGTAGAGGGTTACAAACGTATGTCCTCGAATAACCAAATTTTCTGGAGTCGTTTGAGAGAAAAACCAAAAGGTTTATTGATTAATTATGAATGGATGCATTACATTGGGAGCGTCTTTGACTTAAACAGAACCCTTGGAAAGGCTCAAGCGTCTTTGGGAAAAAGAACACATTGAGTGGATGTAAATTGAAAGGTCTGACTTTTATTACAAAATTTAAAATATGGTTTTGGAAGCTTCAGATGGCTAAATCCATCATATGTCACGAAAAAATGGTGAGAAGAACTGGGACTCTGCACTCTTTTTAGAAAGGTATTATGACCCCAAAATTAGAGTTCGGACACCAAATTTATAGATTACTATTGCATCATTTTGTCTTCCTTCGGTCAATTGCGTTTGCATTCCATTCGGCAATTTGTTCTACATTAGAAATAAACATTTTTTTTACTAGGTAGCTAATTTTTGTCAATTCTCAAACTTATCCCCATAACCGTAATAATTACAAACAAATAATCTCAACATCTTGAGATTTTGAGAAAACATGAGTACCAACTTGAGCCAAAGTATAATGAGGAATGTAAGTATTGGACCAACTCCAACGCTGGGAGTAAGTCCTAAACTTTCCCTCCCATTTCTCTCAAACTCTTGTTCTAAAATTGGGTTAAGTGTTAAAACTTAAAAAAAAACTCAAATTCTCCTTAAGATTTAGCCCAAAATTAGTAGTAGAGCCCACATGTGAGGGTGGAACAAAGGAAGTGGACTGGACTCGTCCAGCACAGACGCGTCAAAGGCCCATCACACTCGCACTAGCCCAGCCCTCCTCAGCTTCGCTGGTCCACCCACGTGGGTATGTCGGGCTGTTGTCGACCCGTGACACAAGCTCAACGGATCTTTTTGGTGATCTGACAGCCAGAATTCAAATGGATCATGGAGATCCAATGGTCCACTTTAATTTATTTAATTTTTAGTTTCGTATTTATATATTTATTGAATTCAAAGGTTGAGATCAAATATAATTAAATCTAGCGGTAAAAAAAAAGATCTAATAGTCCAAATTTAAATCCAACAGCTAAAATAATTAAAAAAAATGATTTATCTCAAAATTCACCCAAAACTTTATAAATATCTATGTATTTGTTCAAACATCCACACAAAACTCACATTTTCCCTACAATTCTTCCAATTTTTCTTTCTACCCTCTTCCAAAACCATTTGTTCCCATTTCCAAAATTTTCAAGATGGCAAAAGATCATATTAGAGGTCGTATTGGACCTTTGAGGAAGATATTGCTTTATGCTTGACATCAGTTTAGTGATTTTTCACTATTTATTGGAATTTAAATATTTTTATGTTAAAATGTTCATAAAATAAATTTAGGATAGTCAACATAATTTATTTTTTTTCAAAAGTTAATTTTAAAAATAGTCTAAATTCATTATTTAATAATCTGAGGTTAAAATTTTAGGTCAAAATATTTGAAGCAGAAAAATTGTTTATGGGCTAAAACTTTTAAGTATTACTCCAAGGGTTGGAGATGATCTTATTATCTTGTCATTATTAAGCTTAATCCTTATTTGTTGATTTTTTTATTTAATTATTTCTAGAATTATAAATTTTTATATTCTAGGCCGGCAAACGATTATTTCCCATTTAAGGATATAAAAATTTATGATTTTTATTTTGTCATTGAATAAAAGTTTATAATTGAAGAAATAATTAAATAAAAAATATTAAGAAATAAAACCATGGGATTTTCGCACTAAAAGCTAGCCAAGTGGAGCGGTCGAGCCAAGCTCAAGACTTTAGGCCATCTCCAACCGATTCGGCCAGAAGGCTGAAAATAGTCAGAAATGGCACAAAATCTGTCTTCAACTGAGGGCCAGGCCAAAGGGCTCGTGGGCCCCACTAGGCCAAAAAAGGAGAAAAGGGCTAACTGGTTAGCCCAACCCAGCCAGCCAGCCCCAGGAGGGGGCGGATTTTGAAGCTGACGTCATTTAGCCGTTATATTTGATTTTTTTTTTTACAAATTTTTTTTAAAAAACTTTAAAAATTCTATTTTTTTCCTATAACTTCCTAAACCATTAAACAATATTAAATAACATTAAGTAACATGAAACAACATTAAACAATATTAAATAATATTAAATAACATTAAATAACATTAAACAACATAAAAAATTATTTAACAACATGAAACTTAAACAACATTTTTAAAAACATTTAACAACATAAAACTTAAACGTCTACTCTATGCTTTTTTTGGCCCAAAGATGTGCAACAAGATCCTATTGTAGGTACTTGTTTGTGGCACGGGAACATATCATCTTGTGGCTCCTCATGTACTCATTCAAATAGATAGTATCAGTTCTTGGATTCACAGGCAAATTAGGCCCATCATTATTTTTGCAAGAGCCCTTGACCTATTTAGATCCTGTTAGTCGTCATCAGACTCTCCATCAATATACCCATCATGCTTATCCTCAACAATCATGTTGTGTAATATGATGCAAGACATCATGATGGAGTCCAAATTTTCTCGACTACACCCTCTTGCCGGTTCCTTGATGATCTTCCACCGTGCTTGTAGAATACTGAAAACTCTCTTAACATCTTTCCGGTATGCCTCTTGGTGCAAGGCAAACCACTTTTCGACGTCATTCGTAGGGTTTGGAATTGCTTGGACAAGTGTCGCCCACTTTGGGTAGATGCCATCTACAAAGTAATACCCTGTATTGTACTGACGGATGTTGATGTAGTAGTCAAGTTGAGGTGATTTACCTTCCATCAGGTTATTGAAGAGGGGTGAAAGCCCAAGAATTGTAATTTCATTTTGGGATCCAGGGACTCCAAAGAAAACATGTCAGGTCCATGTGTCATACGAGGCAACCGCCTCTAACACAATAGTTAGCTTTCTCGACTTTTCGCTAAAGCATCATTGCCATCCGGTGGGACAGTTCTTCCAATTCCAATGCATGTAGTCTAATAACTCTATCATGCCGGAAAGCCACGGTCTTCAGCTTTGTGAATGAGCCGATATCTTCTTGATTTGGCTCACAGAGGTACTCCTCTTTGTAAAGCTGAACAATTGTGTCACATAATTCACCAAGAGTATCAAGGCATGTAAACTCAGACATACCATATGTATCATCCATCGAATCGGCTAGGAAGGCATAGGTCATTATTCAGAGTGCAATAGTAACCTTATGATGAGGTGAGAAACCAGGGTGGCATGCTCTGTCCAGCTTTTGTAGAAAGTATGGATTGACCTACTAGACATCATGAAGTAAACACTCGAAGACATGATGTTTTATGCGGAAGCGACGTCTGAAATCATCTTCTATGTATTCATCAGATTGGCATATGTCATTACTCTATTTCGTGGTTTGTAAGAGCGACTAGCAATAGAGCCACCCCATTGAGGTTGTTCCTCAGTTGGTTGACACACCATGACCTCAACCATGGCTGCCACATATTCTGTGTTGCGTTGTGCTTCAATCTTCTTCATCAGACTTCTCATCTTCTCGTCTTATCTGCGCCCATTTTTCTTCCAATGGGAATTGGATGAAGACCCCAAGTTGGAATCCAAAGTTGCAATTCATTGCAAACTTGAATTGAAAGAGATTGAATATGAAGGTGTGTGAATTATAGCCCAATATCCACCATATTTATGGACATTAGATCAGTTGAATTTGAAGGTGTGTGAAACCAACGACTAGCTGACGACGGACGTCATGCTTAGGTTAGTTATCATTGGATTTGAATTTTTTTTGGCAAATTTTTTTTTTAAAAAATTTAAAAAATTCTCACTTTTTCCTATAAATTTAAGTTGTTGTAGTTTTAAATTTAAGTTGTTGTAGTTTTTTTTAATTTAAATAATAAATTATGTTTGGCTCTTGGTTGGAAATGGTTTTTGTCACAGGGCTATGTTTGGCCCTTGGTTGGAGATGGTAAGAAATATGGTCTTACACTAGTCGTTAAAATATTAATTTCTTTGAAAGCCAAAGGGCTAAAACAAGCCCTCTAGCCCTCCTTCGGTTAAAGATTGCCTTAGTGCCTAGGCAGCTAGGTGAGGGCCTACACGGACTAGGTGGATTTAAGTAAATTTATTATATATTGTATAAATAAATCCTTATTTATACTTAAAACACACAAACATAATTACCACTCACTACTATGGTCTGGTGGTATTCCTCTTCACTTGAAAGTGAGAGGTCTTAGCTTCGAATCTCGTAGATGGCGAATTCGGTACCAAATTAGGCTACCCATTGTGTGATTTGCCAAACTCCCCCTCCCCTCAGTGTAAAAATATTGATATACTGACAAAAAAACACAAACATAATTATAATGAGATAGATAAATTGAAAAATAAAATGACATATCAATTATAAAGTATTACGATATACTCACAAAAAAACACAAACATAATTATAATGAGATAGATAAATTGAAAAATAAAATGACATATCAATTATAAAGTATTACGATATACTCACAAAAAAACACAAACATAATTATAATGAGATAGATAAATTGAAAAATAAAATGACATATCAATTATAAAGTATTACAACGTATTGAAAACATGGGGAACAAGCATATAATTAATGTTCATCCAAATATTCAACAAGTCTCTT